GCCCTCCAGCGGCATGATCCCTTCCGCGCATCTCTCGTTCGTCGCACCGTCATGGCCGCAATCGCAACCGCCTCGAGTGCTCCCACGCGCGCTGCGAGCTCGCTTGCCGGCGATCCCGCCGTCCGCCAGCAGGCGATCCAACGCTCTGCGCGCAGCCGCGCTGTCGCGCCGAAAAACGGGGGCGTCGCGAAATTGTTGGGAGTGCTTCTGCTTCAGCGCGTGAGCGCGCTTGTACTTGTGCTTATGCTTGTGCTTGTGACGCGGATGGTCGCGATGGTGGAAGGGGTGGCATTGCTGCGGCGGGGGGAGAGCGGCGGGGCTGCTGAGGTTGCTGCTGCTGGCCATGCTGGCCATGCTACCGGGCAGGGATGGGAAGAGAATCGCATCCAGCTCGTCGAGATCGTCACTCTGCACGCAAAGGAGGCTCAAAAAGTTTAAGAGAGGAGGAAGAAATGAGAGGAAACGCTTACAAAGGGCGATAGGAGAGACAGGGCAAAAAAAAAAAAAAAAAAAAAAAAAAAAAAACACGACAGGAAGCTCGAGAACAGAAACCGTCCAAGTATACGGAAAGAGGGTTTACTTTCGCACAAAGAACATAAGACAGCAAAACCCTGCCTCAACCACAATCACTCACCGGAACGGCAAGAGGAGATTCTTCGTTTTCGTGAAAAGCACTCAGCGGCGCCAACCCATCCAGAAACCCCTCACCCTCCGCCGACAGACCGTCCTCGGGAAAAAACGGCGAGAAGAGCATCGGAGACGACGGCGTTTCGAGGCCGTCTTGATTCAACGAACCGCCGAATTCCGCAGAAACAGCGGGAAGCTCGAGAGGACCCATCGGCGCGGAGACCGGCACGACATCCTCGCGAATTTCGCCAATATCGCCAGCTTCGTCACCGGACAGATTCAGAAGGTCGTCTTCCCATGCCTCGAGCTCCACCGTCTGAAACAAGACACCGCAGCGGAGAGAATCGAACAAACGAAGGATTAATGACGCCGCTTTGTGAACAAACACCGCGCGGCGCGAGCCTGAAAAAAATAGTTAACACAGCGCAATTGTAAACGGAATACCGTAATAGCAGGGACTTACCAATTCAGACACCTCAACAAGAAGAGGTTCCGAAAACTTGCTCGGAGGTGAGCAATGGTTGTCCGTTTGATTATTCATGACGGACCCGAGAGCGTAACTGGAACCAGCGACATCAGCCATGTCTACTTGACTGTTTTTCACAGCTTACAAGTGACAACCTCAGGCGGGTACACCCAAAAATTCGCGCAAACGATGGGCATGGACCGGCGCGCAGCAAACGGAAGCGGCGTGCAGTCAGCACTTATGCGCGCTTCGTTGGCCGAGTTGTGGGTTTACGCTCTCGTCGTTTCGAATTCGTCAATTGTGTAGTGGAAGCTGTGAGTAAGCAGTTTTAGCTCTTGTTTGAGCCGTCACCGTCAGTGTCCCTCCCTCCCAATTCCTCTACCCTTCACTGTGCTGCGCTTGTCTCCCCTCTTGTTCAGTAAACAAAAGCGTTTTGCGAATGAGCGGAGAGCAGCCGACAGAAGCAGAGAATCATTTGTGCGAATCCCCCTCATTTGTTCGTTCCCCCACCAACTCACTCCCCGTCTCTCCCCCGCATTCCCCATCAAGTACTCCCCCTCCACCTTTTTCCACCCCTTCCCCGTTCACGCCACATGTGTGAACAGACTGGACTAAACAGCACAGATTGGACTTGGGGAACGCGGGGAGGAGAGCGGAGGTTTAGGAAAGGCGGCGGTAGAGGGGAAGGGTACAGCAGTTGTGTTGTGAGAGCGGAAGCTGCAACGACCTAGATCTTGTCAGGTGTGCAGCGTGGCATGTTGTGATTCGTCTGTATAGCGCCTACGTTTCCGCCAAGCGGAAAACTGACAGAGGTTGAGGTGCGGGGACTACCCTTTGTGAGGAGAACTTTCTCCGCGGTGAGTATTTGGCCCAGATCTCACGCAACCCCCACATGCTTCCGCAAGGCTGCGCGTCCCTTCCTTGGGGACTGGTTTTGCTGGCTGGCATGGCTCTCTGATTGGTGGATTTGAGTTCCTCACTTTCGCGCGCTCCTCAGTGTCACCCCTTCGGAACTGTTTCTGTGTCGTTTCCGAGATGGGTGTTTCTCAGCCGTGAAGCCAAAATCATGCGAAAGATCAGCAAGTGTATTCGCGAAGACAGGAGAACAAATTGCGTGGTGGCGAAAGAGCTGATCTTGGTTCGCGTGGAGTTCGAGGCCCGGAAATGCGCCTCGAGCATGTCTCGCTTCCTAGAAGCCTCCACAAGAAGCCATCCACCTCATTCTCCAAGAGCGGGGATGGAGAGATCCTCAGGAGCTGCCAGCTCAGTCGGTGCTGATTCGACAATCCAGCTGACGAGGTCAGCGTTCTTCCTTTTGGGGCTGATATTTATCACTCGCCCTGAAAAGCTGCCCCGCCGTTGGGAAAAGCAGATGACCAAGTCAGGGGTGTGGCCCAGTTTTTCAAAGTAGAACGTAAAGAGACATTGATTTAGTGATACTCTCAGGATAGAATGCTAGTATGCTATAATGCGCGTGCTAAAAAGGAGAACTTCACAAGCACATCACGTGATATGTGTTCGCCTTGTCTATGCCGAAACCTCGTGGCAACCACCCGCCGTTCTAGAATCTCGTCAGCACCGGCTCTGGCTAGAGACTGCAGCAATGCACAATAGTAGCCGACGCAGATGCTTAGTAGGCGACTGCTTACCGCCTGGAAAATGTGCGCTAGATGTCGTGGCGTACAAAATGGATGTATTCTGTGCCGATTATAATCGATTTTCATGGCCACAGCTACCAGAGTCTCCTTGATCCTGAGTGCTATCGCTCTTTCTCCGCTCACATTCGCTAATTCACTCCGCGTCTCCAGCCGCGTCTACGCCATGGCTGCCACCAGTAGGACCAAGATATACGGTCTGAAACTCTCGACCTGCACGAAGAGGGTTCTTGTAGCTCTAGAAGAGAAGAATGTTACGGTACGGTGCAGAATACAACGTGATCGTTATCGTACGTCGCAACGATTTTTTTTTTTTTTTTTACCTTCAACGGTCGATGTTTTGATATATCGCAGGACTATGATCTCGTGACAGTGGATGTGTTCAAGGGTGAGCACAAGTCCGCCGAGTTCAAGAAGAAGCAGGTCCGCGGTAGAACTTCTAGCCGTCAGAAGTACTATCGCATGATTTAGGTTCGACGGTATTTGTGAACTAACGCGGCCTAGTCGCTCTATTGAACCCTATTTGTTTTTCTTGCAGCCGTTCGGCGTCATTCCCGTGCTGGAGGACGAGGCTGTTGAGCTTTTCGGTAAGTACAAAGCAGAGCAGGTAAAAAAAGGGTGCTTTCCAGTGTTTAGTATTCCAGCTTCGTGAATTATGCCTGTACGCTCACTCGTGACGTTTCCATGAGAATAACGTCTTTTTTTTTTGCCACAGAATCTCGAGCTATTGCACGATATATCGCGGACAAATACGCTGACCAAGGCACGAACCTCCTCGGTTCCACCCTCAAGGCATGATCCTCTCGCCATTGAGAATGTTTTTTGTTCTTCCTTATTAGATTATTACACAGTCTTGAAACTGTCACTCGCGCAAAACTGACGCACCCTCTTTATACCTTTTACCCTGCCTTGCATGTGTGCAACAGGAGCGTGCCCTGGTAAATTTATGGCTGGAAGTGGAATCTCAAAATTACAACCCCCCTGTTTTGGGGCTTTTAGCTGAGAAGTTTTACAAGGCTAGGCGGGGACTGGACCCGGACGAGGCCAAGGCAGCTGAATGCAAGGCAAAGGTGAGCTCAAAAGGCAATCCTCTTTCCTCCCTGTTTAATGCATTGCCACATCCTTGTTCGTGACCCTTACCCCCTTCTTCTCCATGCCCCCGTCGGTCCTGCGGCCATTTTCTTGTATGTCTCTCTCGTTGATTCCCTCTCGTTTTGCAGCTCTCCGAAGTCCTAGATGTGTACGAGGCACACTTGGCAGCAAACGACTACCTGGCTGGTTCCTCATTTTCCCTGGCGGATCTGGTGCACCTGCCCTACACTGCAGTCCTCTGGGTGTGTGGTGATTCTGATGTCATTACGTCACGGCCTAACGTGAACAACTGGTGGGAGAGAATTTCCTCTCGTCCATCATGGCAGAAAGTATTTGCCATGAAGTAGTCATGTACATATAGAACTTGTGTAAAAAAAAATCAGTGATAAATGATTTGAAGTGCATTTGATCAATATCTTCATACCGTCCCTTCAACAAGTTCTTTTTGTTTTAGAGTAATGTAGCAGCAATTCCATGCTCTCGCACGAATTGTAGACCAACATGTGGAATACTCGTACATGCTGTAAGAGGAAACTCAACTAGCTTAGAAAACTATATACCTAAATTAGATTACCATGCAAGCGAAAAAACTTAACCTGCTTGGTACAAGAAACCACAATGAGCTTATACCGTACTAAACGAGGAAAAAAAATTCTGAGTTGAATTTCTGGCCTTCGCTTTGCAGATGTTCGCTTTGCCTTATCCGAAACCTCCTAGCAATGCCCTACGGTTCTAGAACGTCGGAACCACGAGGACGGCTTTTGCTGCAGACTGCAGCAATGCACAGCGCCCTACTGCCTAACGCCGCTGAGCGAGATTTGCTGGATGTCGTGATGTACAAAACGGATATACTTTGCGCTTATAATGTACAAATTCCATGGCCGCTGCTACCAGGGTCGTCTCATTTTCGCGTGCTATCGCCATTTCTCCTCTCCCCTTCGTTAGTTCACTGCGTGTTCCTAGCCGCGTGCACGCCATGGCTGCCGCCAGCAAGACCAAGATATATGGTCTGAAGCTCTCGACCTGCACGAAACGGGTTCTTACTGCTTTAGAAGAGAAAAATGTTACGGTACGACTCGGAGTACAATCTCATGTTAGTCGTTACGTCGCAGCGCCGTTAAAATTCTTACCTTCAACTGTCATCTTTACATGCATTGCAGGACTACGAATTTGTAACAATAGATTTGTCCAAGGGCGAGCAGAAATCGGCCGAGTTCAAGAAGAAACAGGTCCGTGATAGAGCCAGCCAGCGGCATCACACGCGTCGCATGATTTAGGTTCAAATGTTTCCTGCAAATCAACCTGCTAGTTATTTTACTGAACCCTAATCGTTCTCCTTGCAGCCGTTCGGCGTCATTCCTGTGCTGGAAGACGAGGATGTTGAGCTTTTCGGTAAGTAGAAAGTATTCTCAGTGTTGTTTTTCCACTTTTGTCACCTACATGCCCGCTTGCGACGTCTCCGCGAACCTCACGCCTGCGTTTTTCCGCCGCAGAATCCCGAGCCATCGCACGATACGTCGCTGATAAGTACGCTGAACAAGGCACGAACCTCCTCGGCTCCACCCTCAAGGCAAGACCCTATCGCCAGAGCCTTAATTATTTTTGTCAGTCTGATGCTCTACAGTGTGGAGTCCACACGATGCTGCAGTCGTCACTCGCGCTAGACCTAGGCACGCGCTGTACGAATCTTTCATGGTTTACCCTACTTGCATGTGTGCAACAGGAGCGCGCCCTGGTGAATTTGTGGCTGGAAGTGGAATCTCAGAACTACAACCCCCCTATCTCTGGGCTGATAGCTGAGAAGATTTTCAAGCCTAGGAAGGGACTGGCTACAGACGAGGCCAAGGTAGCTGAATACAAGGCAAAGGTACGTTCATCTGGAAAGCTCTCCGTTGTCCCTCTTTTCTTCCTTGGCATGTACGTACCGTTTCATGAACCCGCCTTGCCCGTTCTTCTCTCTTCACCTGTCTGCCTTTCGCAATACACCACCTCAACTCCGTACTCTCTTTTTTACCCTTCCCCTCCCCCCTCCCCCCTCCCCCACACTCCCCCTACCCCTCCCCCCCTCCTTCCCTCCGGTCTTAATCTACAGCTCTCTCAAGTCCTTGACGTGTACGAAGCACGCTTGGCTTCAAATGACTATCTGGCTGGCTCCTCCTTTTCCCTGGCGGATCTGGTCCACCTGCCTTACACTGCAATGCTCTGGGTGTCTGGCGATTCCGATGTGATAACATCACGGCCTAATGTGAACAAATGGTGGGAGTGAATCTCCTCTCGTCCATCTTGGCAGAAAGTCTTCGCCATGAAGTAAATATGTACATTACCTAGGTTAGTCAGTGGTTGATGCAAACGATGACCCATGGTGAGCTGGAGTTAGAATTGGCCTGATCATGTTTTGTTTATTAGATTATTAACATTGTATATTCGTCCAGAATCATTACTGCTTACATGGTTCATGCAGCCCAGTACTAGCCCATAGATGCGGGAACCACACATTTAGATAGCTCCCACGGCTCTTCCCCCCACCTGAGTCCGTCCGCCTGCTCGCTGAGTATCCGCGTCCTCTCAGCACGCTCGGCTGAGCGCTGCGCGCATCGACCCTCGCAGCAGCAGGCGCGCTGACTCGCCGCCTCTGCGGTGCGTCGCCGCATCGTAGTGGGCCCGCCACATCGCCTCTTCGCATCCTTCCCACCGCCTCCCTCCTCGGGCCCGCTGCCTCCGCGCCTCCGCGCCTCCGCGCCTGCACGCCTGCACGGCGACTAAATTGTAGCACTTTGCCACCGGGAGCCCGGCGCCTTTATGGCTGCTTATCTCCGGACCGCGATTCCAGCCACCCAACTCTCGAATCCCCCCGTTTCTCCATTCAACGCTGCTTCGAGTAGAGACATCGTTCCAGTGCCGACAGTCCTGCCAGCGACCAAGCGCACACGGCGGCGGAATCGTTTTCTAGCACGCCACCCCGAATTCGCCTCCTCAGAGTTCGCAAGCATGAAAAACGCGTTCGTTAGAGGAACAGACGGCGCTCCTTTTGAGATTGCCACCCATTCGGACAATGCGTCGACGGCAGCGCTCGCACATGATGGTCAACGGCGGGCGGTGGTTGCGACCGCAGGCGGATCGAATTCGGATCCAGCCGTTACCTGTGACACTCCGGCCGTCGATCTTGCCGGCCAGACGGTCGTTGTAAGCTGCCGGACATCGGAGTCACTACTGATGTTCCTTTCTAACAGGATTTCCTTCGATTCTTAAATCCTCGCAAGGACACCAATCATCTGTGAATCCTGGCCTTCCGCATGGTCCTTCAAGCATCTCTGAAGTATTGCACTTTCTTTCTCTCACCCCTCCTCTCTGGTTCCTCCGTTAAGCCCGTCCCTCTCGCACTCGTCCCTCTCGCACTCGTCCCTCTCGCACTCGTCCCTCTCGCACTCGTCCCTCTCGCACTCGTCCCTCTCGCACTCGTCCCTCTCGCACTCGTCCCTCTCGCACTCGTCCCTCTCGCACTCGTCCCTCTCGCACTCGTCCCTCTCGCACTCGTCCCTCTCGCACTCGTCCCTCTCGCACTCGTCCCTCTCGCACTCGTCCCTCTCGCACTCGTCCCTCTCGCACTCGTCCCTCTCACCCTCATCCCTCTCACATGCCTGCTTCCCTCCCCATGCTCCCCCTCTCAGGTGGTGGGCCTGGGAGCATCAGGCAGAGCAGCAGCGCGCCTTGCCCTAGCGAGGGGTGCTGCTGCTGTGATCGGCCTGGACAGGAGGACAGACGCGAAGCCACTGGAGGTGCGTATGTGTGTGTATGTGTGTGTATGTGTGTGTGTTGTTGCTTCTGACAACACCATGACATGTGGGTTTAGCGTTGGGAATGTGCGCCCTGGCCTGCCAGGGGGTGCTGCTGCTGTGATCGGCCTGGACAGGAGGACAGACGCCAAGGCACTGGAGGTGCGTGTGTGTGTTGTCTCTGCTGGCAGCAACACCATGGCCATAGCATGTGGGGTTTAGGGTTGGGGTTGTGCATGCTGTAGCGCGGGGAGCCGCTGCTGTTATCGGGCTGGCTGGACAGGAGGACAGACGCCAAGGCACTGGAGGTGTGTGTGTTGGTGTTGCTGTCAGCACCTTGTCACGTGGGTCCATCCATGGTTGGGGGGGGTTGTGCATGCTCTAGTGCGGGGAGCTGCTGCTGTGATCGGTCTGGCTGGGCAGGAGGACAGACGCCAAGGCACAGGTACTAGAGGTGTGTGCGTGTGTTGCTCTTGACAGCACCATCACATGTGGGTTTAGGGTTGGTTGGGACACAGGCACTGGAGGTGTGTGCGTGTGTTGCTCTTGACAGCACCATCACATGTGGGTATAGGGTTGGTTGGGACACAGGCACTAGAGGTGTGTGCGTGTGTTGCTCTTGACAGCACCATCACATGTGGGTTTAGGGCTGGTTGGGACACAGGCACTGGAGGTGTGTGCGTGTGTTGCTCTTGACAGCACCATCACATATGGGTTTAGGGTTGGTTGGGACACAGGCACTGGAGGTGTGTGCGTGTGTTGCTCTTGACAGCACCATCACATGTGGGTTTAGGGTTGGTTGGGACACAGGCACTGGAGGTGTGTGCGTGTGTTGCTCTTGACAGCACCATCACATGTGGGTTTAGGGTTGGTTGGGACACAGGCACTGGAGGTGTGTGCGTGTGTTGCGCGGGTTGGTTGCAGGTTGTTGTGCATACTCTAGCGCGGGGTCCGGGGAGCTGCTGCTGTGATCGGTCTGGACAGAAAGACCGACGCCAATGCACTGGAGGTATGTGTGTGTGTGTGTGTGTGTGTGTGTGTGTGTGTGTGTGTGTGTGTGTGTGTGTATGTGTGTGTGTGTGTGTTTGTGGCTGCTAACAACACCATGACACTATGACACGTGGATTCAGCGCTGTTATAGGGTGTTTTTGAGAATTTTTAGAAACCCCCTACATCAACAAGAGGTGCGTGCGCTGTTGCTGCTAACGACACTATGACACGTGGGTTCAGGGATGGGATTGTGTGCCGTCGCCAGGCAGGGGAGCTGCTGCTGTGGTTGGTCTGGACAGGAGGACAGACGCCAAGGCACTGGAGGTGCGTGTGTTGGTGACAGCACCATGTCATGTGGGTGGGTGGGTTCAGTCTTCAGAGTTGGGGAGGTGTGCTCTAGCAAGAGGAGCTGCTGCTGTGGTTGGCCTGGACAGTATACTTGTGCAACGAGACGAGTTACTCGCTCGGTATCAGGCAGGGGGACACCCCAGCATGGCGTGGCTGGGCCAGCTCCCCGGGTGCACTGTGAACCATGCTGAGAGAACCGCTCTGCTGCAGCTGCCACTCTCCACAACAAGTGACGGTGGTGCTGACAGCAGCAGGGAGTGCAAGGAGAGCAGCAGGGGGCACGGCAGCAGCACGGGAGTCCAAGCCCCTGTGCTGGCTCTGGATCTGTCCGCGTTACAGGCTGTGGGCAGGCACAACGCGGAGAATGCGGCTGTAGCGGCGCTGCTGTGCCTGGCGCTGGGGATGGAGAGCAGTGGAGTGCGGTTGGACGGGGTGCAGATTGCAGTGAAGGTGTTGCAGCCACCACCACACCGCATGGAGCTGGGTGAGTGAGTGAGTGAGTGAGCGAGCAAGAGTCAGTGAGTAAGTGCAAGAGTGAGTGAGTGAGTGAGTGAGTGAGACTGTTGGGATTTGGGAGTCAGGCTGAGGGCTGGTGGGTGAGCATATCTCTTTCTCGCTTATCTCCCTCCTTCTCGCCTTTCTTCCTCCGCCCACCCTCCATCCTGCAGTGGTTGTGGACGGTCAGGATCGTGCGTGGATCAACGACAGCAAGGCCACCAACGTGGAGGCATCGACGGCTGGGATCGAAGGGCTGGGAGATGAATCCACGGCTGTTATTCTGCTGGGAGGAATAGCTAAGGTGTGATCAACGGTGGGAGGGAGGGGAAAGGAGGGATGGCTAAAGTTTGGCATGGTAGGCCGTTCATTCATCCGTTGATTCATCCGTTGATTCATAAAGACTGCCCCTTGCTGTGGAACGTTTGGGTGGTTTGCTGGCTGGGATTGGTGGTGCTTGCCTGTCTGCCTGCTCCTCTGCCCGCAATCCTGCCCACCGGCGAACGATTAGCATATCTGCATTCGTTCATGGTGATGGTAGGCACTTGTGCGCCTCTTCCATTGTAGGCACTCGTTGGTGGTGGGTCTAGTTTTGAGTCGACTCAAAACATGGTGATGGTAGGCACTTGTGCGCCTCTTCCATTGTAGGCACTCGTTGGTGGTGGGTCTAGTTTTGAGTCGACTCAAAACATGGTGATGGTAGGCACTTGTGCTCCTCTTTCATTGTAGGCACTCGTTGGTGGTGGGTCTAGTTTTGAGTCGACTCAAAACATGGTGATGGTAGGCACTTTTGCGCCTCTTCCATTGTAGGCACTCGTTGGTGGTGGGTCTAGTTTTGAGTCGACTCAAAACACGGTGATGGTAGGCACTTTTGCGCCTCTTCCATCGTAGGCACTCGTTGGTGGTGGGTCTGGTTTTGAGTCGACTCAAAACATGGTGATGGTAGGCACTTGTGCTCCTCTTTCATTGTAGGCACTCGTTGGTGGTGGGTCTAGTTTTGAGTCGACTCAAAACATGGTGATGGTAGGCACTTGTGCTCCTCTTTCATTGTAGGCACTCGTTGGTGGTGGGTCTAGTTTTGAGTCGACTCAAAACATGGTGATGGTAGGCACTTTTGCGCCTCTTCCATTGTAGGCACTCGTTGGTGGTGGGTCTAGTTTTGAGTCGACTCAAAACACGGTGATGGTAGGCACTTTTGCGCCTCTTCCATCGTAGGCACTCGTTGGTGGTGGGTCTAGTTTTTGAGTCGACTCAAAACATGGTGATGGTAGGCACTTGTGCTCCTCTTTCATTGTAGGCACTCGTTGGTGGTGGGTCTAGTTTTGAGTCGACTCAAAACATGGTGATGGTAGGCACTTTTGCGCCTCTTTCATTGTAGGCACTCGTTGGTGGTGGGTCTAGTTTTGAGTCGACTCAAAACATGGTGATGGTAGGCACTTTTGCGCCTCTTCCATTGTAGGCACTCGTTGGTGGTGGGTCTAGTTTTGAGTCGACTCAAAACACGGTGATGGTAGGCACTTTTGCGCCTCTTCCATCGTAGGCACTCGTTGGTGGTGGGTCTAGTTTTGAGTCGACTCAAAACATGGTGATGGTAGGCACTTGTGCTCCTCTTTCATTGTAGGCACTCGTTGGTGGTGGGTCTAGTTTTGAGTCGACTCAAAACATGGTGATGGTAGGCACTTGTGCTCCTCTTTCATTGTAGGCACTCGTTGGTGGTGGGTCTAGTTTTGAGTCGACTCAAAACATGGTGATGGTAGGCACTTGTGCTCCTCTTTCATTGTAGGCACTCGTTGGTGGTGGGTCTAGTTTTGAGTCGACTCAAAACATGGTGATGGTAGGCACTTTTGCGCCTCTTCCATTGTAGGCACTCGTTGGTGGTGGGTCTAGTTTTGAGTCGACTCAAAACATGGTGATGGTAGGCACTTGTGCTCCTCTTTCATTGTAGGCACTCGTTGGTGGTGGGTCTAGTTTTGAGTCGACTCAAAACATGGTGATGGTAGGCACTTGTGCTCCTCTTTCATTGTAGGCACTCGTTGGTGGTGGGTCTAGTTTTGAGTCGACTCAAAACATGGTGATGGTAGGCACTTGTGCTCCTCTTCCATTGTAGGCACTCGTTGGTGGTGGGTCTAGTTTTGAGTCGACTCAAAACATGGTGATGGTAGGCACTTGTGCTCCTCTTTCATTGTAGGCACTCGTTGGTGGTGGGTCTAGTTTTGAGTCGACTCAAAACATGGTGATGGTAGGCACTTTTGCGCCTCTTCCATTGTAGGCACTCGTTGGTGGTGGGTCTAGTTTTGAGTCGACTCAAAACATGGTGATGGTAGGCACTTGTGCTCCTCTTTCATTGTAGGCACTCGTTGGTGGTGGGTCTAGTTTTGAGTCGACTCAAAACATGGTGATGGTAGGCACTTGTGCTCCTCTTTCATTGTAGGCACTCGTTGGTGGTGGGTCTAGTTTTGAGTCGACTCAAAACATGGTGATGGTAGGCACTTGTGCTCCTCTTCCATTGTAGGCACTCGTTGGTGGTGGGTCTAGTTTTGAGTCGACTCTTCCATTGTAGGCACTCGTTGGTGGTGGGTCTAGTTTTGAGTCGACTCAAAACATGGTGATGGTAGGCACTTTTGCGCCTCTTCCATTGTAGGCACTCGTTGGTGGTGGGTCTAGTTTTGAGTCGACTCAAAACATGGTGATGGTAGGCACTTGTGCTCCTCTTTCATTGTAGGCACTCGTTGGTGGTGGGTCTAGTTTTGAGTCGACTCAAAACATGGTGATGGTAGGCACTTTTGCGCCTCTTTCATTGTAGGCACTCGTTGGTGGTGGGTCTAGTTTTGAGTCGACTCAAAACATGGTGATGGTAGGCACTTGTGCTCCTCTTTCATTGTAGGCACTCGTTGGTGGTGGGTCTAGTTTTGAGTCGACTCAAAACATGGTGATGGTAGGCACTTTTGCGCCTCTTCCATTGTAGGCACTCGTTGGTGGTGGGTCTAGTTTTGAGTCGACTCAAAACATGGTGATGGTAGGCACTTGTGCTCCTCTTTCATTGTAGGCACTCGTTGGTGGTGGGTCTAGTTTTGAGTCGACTCAAAACATGGTGATGGTAGGCACTTGTGCTCCTCTTTCATTGTAGGCACTCGTTGGTGGTGGGTCTAGTTTTGAGTCGACTCAAAACATGGTGATGGTAGGCACTTGTGCTCCTCTTTCATTGTAGGCACTCGTTGGTGGTGGGTCTAGTTTTGAGTCGACTCAAAACATGGTGATGGTAGGCACTTGTGCTCCTCTTTCATTGTAGGCACTCGTTGGTGGTGGGTCTAGTTTTGAGTCGACTCAAAACATGGTGATGATAGGCACTTTTGCACCTCTTCCATTGTAGGCACTCGTTGGTGGTGGGTCTAGTTTTGAGTCGACTCAAAACATGGTGATGGTAGGCACTTTTGCGCCTCTTCCATTGTAGGCACTCGTTGGTGGTGGGTCTAGTTTTGAGTCGACTCAAAACATGGTGATGGTAGGCACTTGTGCTCCTCTTTCATTGTAGGCACTCGTTGGTGGTGGGTCTAGTTTTGAGTCGACTCAAAACATGGTGATGGTAGGCACTTTTGCGCCTCTTTCATTGTAGGCACTCGTTGGTGGTGGGTCTAGTTTTGAGTCGACTCAAAACATGGTGATGGTAGGCACTTGTGCTCCTCTTCCATTGTAGGCACTCGTTGGTGGTGGGTCTAGTTTTGAGTCGACTCAAAACATGGTGATGGTAGGCACTTGTGCTCCTCTTTCATTGTAGGCACTCGTTGGTGGTGGGTCTAGTTTTGAGTCGACTCAAAACATGGTGATGGTAGGCACTTTTGCGCCTCTTCCATTGTAGGCACTCGTTGGTGGTGGGTCTAGTTTTGAGTCGACTCAAAACATGGTGATGGTAAGCACTTTTGCGCCTCTTTCATTGTAGGCACTCGTTGGTGGTGGGTCTAGTTTTGAGTCGACTCAAAACATGGTGATGGTAGGCACTTGTGCTCCTCTTTCATTGTAGGCACTCGTTGGTGGTGGGTCTAGTTTTGAGTCGACTCAAAACATGGTGATGGTAGGCACTTGTGCTCCTCTTCCATCGTAGGCACTCGTTGGTGGTGGGTCTAGTTTTGAGTCGACTCAAAACATGGTGATGGTAGGCACTTGTGCTCCTCTTTCATTGTAGGCACTCGTTGGTGGTGGGTCTAGTTTTGAGTCGACTCAAAACATGGTGATGGTAGGCACTTTTGCGCCTCTTCCATTGTAGGCACTCGTTGGTGGTGGGTCTAGTTTTGAGTCGACTCAAAACATGGTGATGGTAGGCACTTGTGCTCCTCTTTCATTGTAGGCACTCGTTGGTGGTGGGTCTAGTTTTGAGTCGACTCAAAACATGGTGATGGTAGGCACTTTTGCGCCTCTTTCATTGTAGGCACTCGTTGGTGGTGGGTCTAGTTTTGAGTCGACTCAAAACATGGTGATGGTAGGCACTTGTGCTCCTCTTCCATTGTAGGCACTCGTTGGTGGTGGGTCTAGTTTTGAGTCGACTCAAAACATGGTGATGGTAGGCACTTGTGCTCCTCTTTCATTGTAGGCACTCGTTGGTGGTGGGTCTAGTTTTGAGTCGACTCAAAACATGGTGATGGTAGGCACTTTTGCACCTCTTCCATTGTAGGCACTCGTTGGTGGTGGGTCTAGTTTTGAGTCGACTCAAAACATGGTGATGGTAGGCACTTTTGCGCCTCTTCCATTGTAGGCACTCGTTGGTGGTGGGTCTAGTTTTGAGTCGACTCAAAACATGGTGATGGTAGGCACTTGTGCTCCTCTTTCATTGTAGGCACTCGTTGGTGGTGGGTCTAGTTTTGAGTCGACTCAAAACATGGTGATGGTAGGCACTTTTGCGCCTCTTTCATTGTAGGCACTCGTTGGTGGTGGGTCTAGTTTTGAGTCGACTCAAAACATGGTGATGGTAGGCACTTGTGCTCCTCTTCCATTGTAGGCACTCGTTGGTGGTGGGTCTAGTTTTGAGTCGACTCAAAACATGGTGATGGTAGGCACTTGTGCTCCTCTTTCATTGTAGGCACTCGTTGGTGGTGGGTCTAGTTTTGAGTCGACTCAAAACATGGTGATGGTAGGCACTTTTGCGCCTCTTCCATTGTAGGCACTCGTTGGTGGTGGGTCTAGTTTTGAGTCGACTCAAAACATGGTGATGGTAAGCACTTTTGCGCCTCTTTCATTGTAGGCACTCGTTGGTGGTGGGTCTAGTTTTGAGTCGACTCAAAACATGGTGATGGTAGGCACTTTTGCGCCTCTTCCATT